ATTGATGTGTGTAGAAAAAGACCTCCAAACCTATGTAACAGCCAAGAAACCCAACTTGGTGAGTCAGTTGACCTAGGAAAGGTTGGGTTCAGCCATTTAGGGCACCCGAATATGAAGATTCATTCCGGATGAGTCTTAACCGGTCTTGAAAGTGGTAATCTTAAGTTTTGAGGGCCTAGGGTTAAAATTGTTTTTTCCACGCTAAGGGTGGTATTATAATTACCCAAAATGATAAATTAATTAATTTATTAATATGGTTAAGGGGCAATTCTGGAAGAGGTGGCCGAATCTGACCATTTAAGCAAAATCTAGTTCCACCCAGGTTCAAGCCTTTGTGGACGCAATGATTTAAATTGATTAGATTGAATTTAGTGAATTAATTAATATTTTATTTTCTGATTTAGGAAAAAGGAAAAAATCAATTTTTTTATTAATTAATGATAAATCCTAATTTGACCAAGTATCCACCTAATCTCCTAATCCTAAGCCAACACTATCACACGTTTCTCTCTACTCTCTCTCACTTTAATGCTCAACTTTCTATAAAACTAAAGAATAGAACAAAAATATAACAATTTCATCCACATCCATGAACTTGATCGCTCAAACTAAAAAGCAAAATACGTTTAAAAATGAAAAGCAAAAATCAAGTTCTCGACGGATTGTGCTTGTGATTTCGGTGGTGAGACGTTGGCTTAGTGGGCATTTTGTAGCACGTTAGAACGCCATTGAACGACATCAGGTAAGGGTTTTATTCCCTATTTGTCCCTTTCCCAAGAGAACCTTAAGGTTCAATCTAATCACAATCGAAAAACTAAGGTTGTCCCTGTTGCATGCCCCTGTCATTAGTTCCTCTGAAAGATTAAAAGTATGCGTTGGTATATCTTCTGGTAGGTGATTTTAGGGATGGTTGCGATTATGTGTTTGAATTTGTATTCAAAAATTATGTGAGAAATGAAAGATGTGTTCCGAAAAAGTGAATTACGTTAACTTGTTTGTGCATTTGTGTTCCGTGAGTTAGTCATGGTTTTAACCCTGAATTTTACATGTTAAAATTTTGTATTTACGTGTATGAATATTTTAAAAATGTTATGTTCATATAATTATAATGTTTCTGGATAAATTTCCGACGAAATGCTCCAAGAATTAACAAAAAAAATGAGAGAGATGAATTGGAAGATGACCAAATTACCAGCTTGCTGGAAATGATGGTCTCGGGTTGTGTATTGTAGATGGAGCTATATTTTACATTTATTTAAATGTCATTTCATTGGGGATTTAATCCAATACCTCACCAAATGCAAAGTACATAAAAATTTTATAAGAAGAACGAAAGGAAAAGGGAAGAGAAACTTACATAAATATACCGTAATAAAAAAATATATACTATTTATAGCAATAACATTTTTTCACTGGACCACTTTTATTTCATTTATAATAAAAGTTTAACACATATTACAAATAAAAAATTTATTATTCACATATAATATAAGTTTTAATGACGAATAATACATTTATCAAACATTTTAATACACTTATAATACTATATGACAACTTTTTACCAAACAAACATAATATATTTCAAAAACAATTATAATTAAAATATATTGCATACATAACTCACTTTTCGTAAATATTGTAGATTTATCACAATATTACTATGAATGGTAATAAACAAAAATTATCACTAAAATTAGTATTATTTTTCAAATTGTATTATTTTCTATAATTTTTTCAAAAATAAATGAGGTAAGTGGGGATCGTATGAAAGAGTTAGGAGAAAAATAAAAGATTAAAAAAAGATGAGGTCAGTGGGATTGAACCCACAACAGTTTGGATAAGTGAGAAAGTTAAGAGAAAAACTAAGAGAAACAAAATGAAGTTGTGGGGGATCGATCTCACAAGCTCTTGTCCTTAAACGAAAAAGAGTGGAGGGAAAAGAAAGAAAAATATAAGGGGGTGATGGGGATCGACCTAGGTACCCCAAACCTGAAAAATACAATTACCAAATTTTATATAAGATTAAGTGTTGCTCAAGGAATTCGAAATCAGGTTCCCTTTCCCAATTCCGTATTGACACATAATTTGTATGTGTATAAATGATTAAATGATTGTTCCTTCAACAATCAAAATTGAGATCTTGGCATACTTACAAGATGCATAAGTCTTGTACCACATAACCTTGGGTAAGTATGAATCACTTAGACGAATTACGAATGAAGCCTCATGACATGTGTGTGTGGACTCATAAGTCCAACATACTTTTATAAAGTAAATGAAACTTAGATATTACGTGATGAATGATATGACCCCAGATGGGTTAGGTAAGAGTGTGAAACACACTAAAAGGCCAAGTGCTTTGTCATATGATGGAATGAACATTCACGTAAAAAAGGGTGAGTAATTATGAAGGGTAAATGTTCTTAGGCTAATGAATGTGGTGACAATATGATAAGAGACAATGGTGAAATATGAGAGCAATCTTAAATGACCCTAAGTAACTGTTACAAGAACGTACTCACCTATGAGAGTGTAAAGTTAATGAAGAGACCAGCCTCTATGAAAACTCTAATGAAAGTATTGAAGTTAATATATACTTAATACTAATGATGAGATGAGAAATTATCTTATGAGTTATGATGTCCTCATGCTAGAAGACATCTTCTATGATGTGTGAGATGGATGTAATGGAACTTTATTCTGAGCAACGATAGGCTAGCTATGATCGGAGATTCCTTCTTTCGAGACGGCAAAGGTTCGTGTAATTCTCATGAGATTATATTGTCCTCCTTACGGGTATGATTCTATTTATATCTCCTAGTCGTTGATCTAATGCAGCCAACGTAGGGATCTAGCAGGGTTCAACTCCCTATGTATGCTAGCCTATTTTCTTTTCACTTTAGCCGGTGATTCCACCTCTTTTCTGTGTGGGGTAGACATTGGACTTCATGATGCTTACACGATCTATGTCGGTTAATGTTAAAGTTTTGAAAGAAATAATGAGGTTTGCCTCATGTAATGCACACAATGAAATGAACGATACCAAACGTGTTTGGGTAGGATAATTAAGAGGTGAACTAGACTTATGTAATGACATTAGGTCATTCTTACTCATTGCAAAGTGAACCCACTGAGAGTCTTAAACTACATCCTAGATATAGCTGGTGTTTACACTAGCCTATAAATATAATGAAGCACGTAAGAATGAATGAAGCAGACTTTGTGTTTGCTAAAGAAGGCTACCTAGTTGAGGTCCTATATGTTAAGCCCTCATTTTTGGAAGTCCTAATGTAAAGTCAATGGTTCTAGGGCGTCATGGCATATGAAATAATGAAATGAAATATAATATGTGTGATATGCAACATATTATGTGTTATATGCAATATGTTATCTTTTATGTCCAATATGATACATATGATGATGATGTATGTTACTCTCATGGAATGACTTTCTTAAACCGACTTTTTCAAGTTCACTGACTTGACTTTCCATAATTCATATCGTTAAGAAAGAGCTATTTTAAATCATGAATGTCTGTGGTGTGTAATAATTCCTTACATTTATCTAGTTTTAGGTACAGTTGCAGCTAGACGTGAAAGCTTACGAGTTGACGCATAAGTTATCTGGACGTGGAGCTTTCATCTGGATTTTGTAGTCCCTGATGCTTTTGAGGATTCTAACTTATTTATTCTAGCATAGACCTAGGCACGATCTAGTGTAGTATGTTCCACTAGCGTGTAATTCGTATTTACTTTCAGAAGTTGTCTTGGTTCCATTTTGGCAACACTATATTTATGACCATATCTTTCATTTGATTATCTTGATTTAGATGGTTTTTGTGAACTCTTATGAATATTCATAGATAGTATTATGCGGGATCAATGTTTTCCAATATGAAGTATACGTAAACAAAAGTTCAAATTTTCCACTAAAATTAACCTAGATGAAGTAACGATGACGTATGTAGGCTTGTCTGCAACCTCTGAGAGGTTAACGATGCTGGTCTCATCCGGGGTCTAGATTCGTATCATGAAAAATGTGTATCACACAATTAGGTTAAATTCCAAGGATAATAAGTTCACATCAGCCACATCGGGTAGTTTCTAATATATGGTAGTGAAGTGCACCAAAATCGTGAATTAGAGATCGCATGATACATAGGAAAATTTCCCGTCTTCTAATCCTATCATGATTTGCTTAATGTCTGATTTCTTAGTGTTATGAGCAAATCTAACATCAATTCTTTTTTTTTAGAAAATGAACACAAGGGGGAACGCTGGTGAGGTAGAGTAGGAGCAGCTGTAGGGGAAACAAAGTTCCACCATAGGCACCAACTACTTGAGTGCTCATGCAATTTAACCCAGAAGGATTGACAAATGCTGAGGTGGTAGAAGATATGGCACAGATGGATCAAGCCATCACTATGCAAGGCTCAGTCTATGACAGCCCACGAAAACAGACAGGAGGTTCAGCGGGAGAATCCACCAGCCCAGAACATGGCAAACAGGTTGCGAGATTTTACGACGATGAATCCTCCAATCTTCACATTATCTAAGACTGCAGAGTACCCTTAGGAGTTCGTGGAAGATGTCCAAAAAATTCTTGTGGAGATGGGGACAATGGAGATTGAGAAAACTGAGTTGGCCTCGTATCAGCTTAAGGATGTTGCAAAGTCTTGTTGCAAGATGTGGTGGGATAGAAAGGCGTTGGGCAGAGGTCCAATCATATGGGAGTTGTTTAAGACAACTTTTATGGAGAGGTTCCTCCTAGAGAGATTAAAGAGGCTAAGGTTTAGGAGTTCATTAACCTTAAGCAGGGCTCGATGAATGCAAGGGATTATTCCTTGAGATTCCTTAATTTGTCAAGATATTCCACTTCTCTTATGTTGAACAGCATGGATGAGATGAGCAGGTTCCTTACAGGGATCACAACGGAATTGGAGAAATAGAGTCAAGTTGCAATGCTCCATGATAGCATGGACTTGTCAAGGCTTATAGTACATGTCCAGCAGATTGAGGACAGCCGTAGGAAGAGGAAAATCCATGAGGTCAGGATTCCTAACCCTTCTAACAAGAAAAGTTCAAGAAGAGGCTGTGGCAGGAGCTCTTTTGGAGTTCGTGATCAGCCTAGATTTAAGAAGGGGAATCATAGTGCAGGAAACTCTAACTCTTAGAGGAGTGCAGAACCTAAAAGAGGAAGACCAGAGCCAAAGAAGGGTAATGGAGGTGATGTGAAGCATCCCAGTGAGAAATGTGGCAAATATGGCCGTATACACAGTGGAGAGTGCAGACTCGGCAAAAATGCCTGTTCGGTTGCGGAAAGAGCGGACACATAGTCAGGGACTGCCCATAGAATAGGGGTCAGGTTAAAGGTAATGCTCAGCATAGGCCTAATACCCAGAATGCTACTATAGCCGAGCCTCCTAAGAGGATAAAATTCTTAAAAGCCTTGATAGAAAGGGAGGATCAGGAAAAGTTTGCTGATGTGGTCATAGGTATGGTGCAACTTTATCAACCTCCATTTATGCTTTACTTTATCCAGGGTCTACGCTTTCTTTTTTGACTCCCTTGCTTGCTCTTACTTTTGAAACACTACCTGAGGGTTTGCAGGATCCTAATGTAGTTAGTACTCCCTTATGAAAAAATGTGAGAGCTGATAGAGTTCATAAAGACTGCCCAATAGTAGTATGTGGTAAGACTATGTGTCTAGACCTTGTTGAGTTACCCATAAATGATTTTCATATTATACATGGTATGGACTGGATCTATAAATGTTACGCCTTCATGGATTGTCGTAGTAGGGTTGTGAGATTCCGTTTCCCTAATGATATAGAGCTGGTCTGGGAGGGGTAGAATTCGGTTCATTCATTCACCTTGATTTCAAACCTAAAAGCTAATAAAATGATGTCAAAGGGGTAGTTATGTCATCTTGTGAGTGTCAATGATCTAGATCATGAAATTCCTTCCATAGACTTTATTCCCGTAGTGAATGAGTTCAAAGGCGTTTTTGCCAAAGATTTGCTTGGAGGCCCTCTCCCTTGAGAGATTGATTTTGGTATCGACATAGATTCTAATACCTAACCGATTTCAATTCCTCCCTACAGAATGGCTTCATCTGAACTCAATAAGTTGAAGCTGCAGTTAAAAGATCTCATTGATAAGGGCTTCATCTACACGAGCATGTCCCATTTGGGAACTCCAATGTTGTTTATGAAAAATAAGTATGGAACCCTTAGGATGTGTATCGATTATTGGCAGCTCATCAAAGTCACTATAAAGAATAGGTATCCCCTTTCAAGAATAGATGACTTATTCGATAAGCTCCACGGGTCTAGATTATTCTCGAATTTTGATCTTCCTTCCACGTATCATCAACTTAGGGTTAGGGATGAATATATCCCAAAGATAGACTTTCATACCCATTATGGTCATTATTAATTCTTAAATAGTCTCACTAATTCAACAGCTGCATTTATGTAACTTATGAACCGAGTCTTCTGTGAATACCTTGATTCTTTCGTTATAGTATTCATTGATGACATCCTCATCTACTCTAAGACCAAGGAAGAGAATGAATAACATTTGAGACTAACCTTGCAGGCACGTAGACAACATAAGTTGTATGCCAAATTCAGCAAGTGTGAATTATATCTTAGATCAGTGACCTTTCTCGGTCATGTTGTGTCCAATCAGGGAGTGGAGGTGGACCCAAGAAAGACTAAGGTTGTTAAGAAGTGGCCAACACCTCTTATTACCACCGATATCCCTGGCATTCTAGGATTGGATGGTTACAACCGTAGATTCGTTGAGGCTTTTTTTGCCATTGCTTCCCGAATGATAGCTTTGACTGAGAATAAAGCCATGTTTGAATGGGCAGAGACCTGTGAGAAGATTTTCCAGTAGTTCAAGGACAGACTCACTTCAGCCTAGTGTTTACGTTACCTAAATATTGTGAGAACTGCACTATTTATTATGACACATATAGGGTTGTTTTGGTTTGTTCTCTATGCAGGGTTGTAAGGTTATAGCCTATGCATCCAGATAGCTCAAGGTTCACGAGAAAAATAATCCCACTCATGACCTAGAGTTTGCAGTTGTGGTGTTTGCATTGAAGTTGTGGAGGCATTACTTCTATGGAGTGCATGTGGATGTGTTCACAGACCACAAGAGTCTCTAGTACATGTTTACACAGAGGGAGTTGAATCTACGTCTGGGATATGGTTGGAGTAGTTAAAGGACTATAAAATGAGTGTCCACTACCATCCAAGGAAGGCAAATGTTGTAGGTGATACTTTAAGCATGTTGATTATGGGGAGTGCAACCCACCTTAATGATGGGAAGAAGGAATCGTTTAAGAATGTACACAGACTGTCCATACTAGGTGCGGTTGATGGCTTCTTCTAGTGCGAGTGTTTAAGTTTATGCCAGTTTTGGATCATACTTGGTAGCTAAAGTAAAGAAGGGTCAGTATCTTGATCATGTGTTGATGGAGTTGAAGGACTCAGTGCTAGTAAAGATGAATGAGTACTTCTAGGTAATCGATACATTTAGGTACCAGGACAAGTTGTGTGTCCAAAAAACATGGATGATATGCGGACAAAGATTGTCTCAGAGACCCATGCTTCTAGGTAATCGATACATTTAGGTTCCACCAACATGTATCATGACCTAAAGTAGATCTATTAATCGGATGACATGAAGAAGGACCTTGCTAAGTATGTGGCCAAGTGTCCTATTTGTCAGCAAATTAAGGCAAAGAACCTTAAGCCTGGTGGTCTCACTCAGATGGTTTAGGTTCCGACTAGGAAGTGGGAGGCCATTAACATGGACTTCGTGGTTGGTCATCCGACGACTAGGAGACATCATGACTCCATATGGGTTATTATGCACATGATGATTAAGTATACCCACATTAATCCTGTGAAGTCTAATTATAGGGCTGAGAATTATGCAACTCTACATTGATGAGATTATGGGGTGGCATGGGATTCCATTGTCTATTATTTCAGATAGAGGAGGAAATTCACATCCCATTTCTGGATATACTTCCAGAAGAGCATAGGCACGCAAGTAAATCTCAGTACCGCCTTCCACCCTCAGATGAATGGCAAGGCAGAGCGCACCATTCAGACTTTGGAGGACATGTTGAGGGCATGTGTGATCCACTTACGTATTAGTTGGGACTACCATCTACTATTGATAGAGTTTTCATACAATAACAGCTATCACTCCAGTATTGCGATTGCACCATTTGAGTCAGTTTATGGTAGGAGGTGTAGGTCTCCAGTTTAGTTATTCAAGGTTGGAGAGTCATCCATTTTGGGTCCAGATATCATTCATGAAGCCTTAGATAAGGTCAAGGTTACTAGGGACAGGTTGCTATTGCTTACAGTCAGCAAAAGTCTTATGCAGATAATAGGAAGCGTCCCTTAGAGTTTGATGTTGGTGGCCAAGAATACATGAAGATATCACCCCATGAAAGGGGTGATAAGGTTTGGCAGGAAGAAGAAGTTAAGTCCGAGGTACGTTCGACCATACGAGATTCTACAGCATGTGGGTGCAGTGGCCTGTGTGTTGGTGATGCCTGTGAAGCTACCTTTTGTTCATCAATTCTTTCATGTATCTATGTTAAAGAATTGGCTTCCTGATCCAGCATCGAATTCTGCCTGTTGAAGGTTTGCGGTTGATGAAGACTTTTCCTATGAGGAGGTTCCTATTGAGATTTTAGACCGGTACATAAAGCAGCTGAGAAACAAGGGGGTTGCCACAGTGAAGGTATTGTGGAGGAACAATCTTGTTGAGGGTGCAACGAGGGAGGCCGAGGATTATATGAGGTACCACTATCGTCATCTTTTCAGCTCTTGAGGTTTGACTCCTTACTCTTAAGTCTAAGTTCACTTGTCTCCTCCATTCTTTGTTCATATTGCTTGACTGTGTAAAGTACTTATATTGTGATATGACTGGCATTGCACGAGATAATTAGATGTGTCATTCGGGGATGAATGTTCCTAAGGGGGGGATAATGTAACAACCTGAAAATGACTATGCTAAGTAATGCTTAAACGTACCTAAAATACTTTGGTTTGACCGGGTTCACATGGATTTAAGCGCGTAGAACCAGACCTCCGAACCTATACAAAAGCCAATACAACCAACTTTGTGAGTTGGTTGAGCTAGGCAAGGTTGGGTCCAGCCATATAGGTCACCCTAATATGAAGATTCACCTAGATGAGTCTTAACCGAACTTGAAAGAGTTAATCTTAAGTTTGGAGGGTCTAGGGGTAAATTTGTCTTTTCCAGGCTAAGGGTAGTATTGTAACTACAAAAAATAATAAATTAATTAATAATTGAATATGGTTAAGGGGCAATTTGGGTAGAGGTTGCCAAATTTAACCCTTGAAGCAAAATCTAACTCCACTAGAGTTCGAGCATTGGTGGAAGCAACGAATTAATTGATTAAATTGTATTTAGAAAATTAATTAAATTAATTATTATTTAATTTGCTGGTTTAGGAAAAAGTAAAAAATCAGATTTTATATTAATTAATGATAAATCCTAATTTGACTAAGTCTCCACCTAATCTCCTAATCCTAATATAACGCTATCACACGTTTGTCTCTACTCTTCTCTCACTTTCACAGTCAACTTTATGTAAACAAAAAGAACTGAATAAAAATATAACAAATTTCATCCACATTCAAGAAATTAATCTCTCAAAATCGAAAGCAATATAAGTTTAAAAACGAAAAGTAAAAATCAAGTTCTCGACGGAATGTGCTTGTGATTTCGGTGGTGAGATGTTGGCTTGGGGTGATTTTGCAGCACCTAAGAACCCCATTGAATGAATTGAGGTATGGGTTTTCTTCCCTTTTGGTCCCTTTTTAAAGAGACTCTTAAGGTTCAATATATTTATAATTGAAAAACTAAGGTTGTCCCTGTTGCATGCCCCTGTCATTAGATCCTCTAAAAGATTCAAAGTATGTGTTGGTATGACTTATGGTAGGTTATTTTAGTGATGGTTGTGATTATGTGTTTTAATGTGTATACGGGAATTATGTGAGAAATGAAAGATGTGTTCCTAAAAAGTGAATTACGTTAACTTTTTTGTGCATGTGTGTGCCGTGAGTTAGCCATGGTTTGAAGCCTGAATTTTACATGTTCAAATGTTTTATTTTACGGGAATGAATATTTTAAAAGTGTAATGTTCATATAAGTATAATGTTGCAAAATAAATGTCACACGAAATACTGTAGGAATTGACAAAAAAATGACCGAAAGATGAATTAGAAGATGTCCAAATTTCTAGCTTGCTGGAAATGTTGGTCATGGGTTATGTGTTGGATATAAAGCTATACTTAAAAAAATGATTTCATTGGGGATTGAACCCAATACCTCATCAAATGAAAATTACATAAAATTTTCATAATAAAAACGAAAGGAAAAATAAATTAGGTAAGTGAGAATTGAACCCACAACCTCTTGAATAGATGAAAGAGTTAGGATAAAAATGAAAGAGAAAAATAAGATAAGGTGAGGGGGATTAAACCCACAACCTCTTGGATATATGAGAAAGTTAAAAGAAAACTAAGAGAAATAAACTGAAGTTGTGGGGGATCGATCCCACAACCTCTTGGCTTTTAAATGGAAAAGAGAGGAGGGAAAAGAAAGAAAAATATATTAGGGTGACGGGGATCGACCTAGGGTCCCTTAAATCTGAAAAATACAATTACCAAGTCTAATATAAGATTAAGTGTTGCTCAAAGGATTCATAATCGGGTTCGCCTTCCCAATTATTTTTTGGCATATAAGTCGTACGTGAATTAATTATTAAATGTATACTACCGTTAAGGATCGAAACTGTGATCTTTCCATACTTACAAGATGCATAATTCTAGTAAAACATAACCTTGGGTAAGTATGAATCACTTAGACAAATTATGAATGAAGCCTTATGGCTTGTGTGTGTGACTCATAAGTCCAACATACGTTTAAAAATAAGTGAACCTAAGATATTAAGTGAGAATTATGTGACCCCAGAAGTATTAAGTAAGATTGTGAAACACATATAAAGACCACTTGCATTGGCATATGATGAAATGAACATTGATGTCAAAAAAGGTGAGTAATTATGAAGTTCAAATCTGCTAAGGCTAATGAAATATGACAAGTGGCTAATGTAAAATATAAGAGCAATCTCAAATGAGCCTAAGTAAATGTTACCAAACTGTACTCACCTATGAGAGTGTAAAGTTAATGAAGAGACTCGTCTTTATGAACACTTTAATGAAAGTATTGAAGTTAATATGTCCTTATTACTACTGATGATATGAGAAATCAGGTAATATGAGCTATGGTATCCTCATGCTGCAAGCCAGCTTCTATGATGTATGAGATGAATGTAATCGAACTTTATACTGAGCACTGATAGGCTACCTTTGAGTGGCGATTCCTTCTTTCGAGAAGACATAGGTTCATGTAATTATCATGATATGAGATTTTTTGTTCAGATGGGTATGGGTCTCTTTATATTTCATAGTCTTTGAACCTATGTAGCCAACATAGTGATCCAGCAGGGCTCAACTCCCTATTGTTACATCCCATATCAAAAATAGACCAAAAATCAGTTTTTTCAAAAAAAATATGTAGGTGCAACCACTGGTGGCATCAACAGTCCATAGGTCAGACGACGGTCCTCCGGCACAACCGTCGATGGGATCAGAAACTCCCAAAAACTTAGCCAGGAAAAAATTTGCTAAGTCTTGATTGATGGACGGACTGAAAGACCATAGTCTGTGACCTTAGATTGAGACCCCCATTCACCCACTCTCTGACAAGAGCTACCGATGACCAGCACAGTTCGTAGGTGGAAAATTTGTAGACAGATAAGGGGAAATGTAGTTGGG